AAAAAAAAAAAGGGAATTCAGTATGCACACAGTAACACTATGCACTTCTACGGCGCCTTCCAACAGAGGCCATCAGCATTTTTTTTAAACGAACTACGCCTAAAAAATCCCGTGAGCAAGGTACTGTTTTATCATACAGGTTAAAAGACTGAGGCAAGAAGTCTAACTGTTTTGCCCACGGTCATACAACACATCCACACCCACACCCTTGCACACATACCCCAGTGCTAGAGGCTGCCACACCTATTCCCAGAGCTTTCAGTTACTAGATAATGGTCTCTCTTACTATAGATGCTTGCCAAAAAAGTAAAGTGAGTTTCTGGAATCACAAAAAAGGAACATAAATCGATGCAAGATTTATGTTCTATTTTGCTTCCCACTATTCCAGAGGGAATGAATTTTAGTAGAAGTATCCTACAGAAGGAGATGGGAAATAAAAACAGAGCCTCAAGTGAGCAACACTAATATCACATAAGCTAAGAACGCAGAATTAATTTAGGCCACACAAATGCAAGATCCAACAACTGAGGCAATGTTACACTTTGCGTTGCAGTTTGTATGCAGAAAGTTCACCTTACTAAAGGGAAATGATTCGGGGAGGCAGGGGAGAGTGGGGGAGCGGGGGGACGGGGGGGAGCTTCAGCCAAAGATTATACTTTGCAGATGTATACTAAAATCTGGAAAAGTGTTTACATAGAAATTTCTGGTCCTTGTCCCTCCCCCCGCAAAAAGAAAACACAAAGTATCAAGCTTCCTAACAACAAAGTCCGGCATAAATAGAATTTCAGGGTCCTCCTTAGAGTCTAAGATGTGAAGACTTTTTGCTGTCCAAGGAAAACTAGGCATGCAGTGGGAAGAATTATTTGCTAACCACAGTGAGGGGCGGTGGTGGGAACAATTTGACAGATGATATTTTTAATCCTTCTCAGAGGCGAATGGCCGGGATAGACCATTTTCAAGAAACTCCTGGCAGTTAGAGTGAAGCGTTAGTTGAAGGCATCCCTTTCTGATATAAAGGAAAAGAACAGTGATCCACTATTCAGCAATTAGCACAGTGTAAATGGTGTTTACTATGAACGTAGTCACAATGAGGTTAAAAAATGGTTTTGCAAAGGACAGCAATTGGATTTTTTAGTACCACCCTTTACATCTGTATTTCCAAGTAGTTGGAAATAAAGATCCTTAATGCTATAAGAACAAAAAATTACTGTTGGAGATTATGTCAACATAGGAAATAAGCTTCTAAGATGTAACTGCTATTAAAAATTAAAGGGTAAGGCCTGCCAGGAGTGATATCCAGCAGAATTTTTTTCCACACATTTTTTTTTTTTGAATTAATAAATGATACTTTACAATAGAATGTCTTTGGTAATAAAGTTAACAGAGAAGAGCTGGTCTTCTGGAGCAGAAATCAGACATTAAATTCCAAAAGGGGTATCTGCAAATAAATCCACAAAAGCCCTAGCTTAAGCAAACCTGATAAGGGACTTGAGCAAAGAGAAAACTGTTCTGTTTCTCCCCCACCCCCTTTTAAAATCAAAGATGCAAGAACTATATGAAAATTGCATCCCAAAGAAGAAAAATTGTTTTTTTTTTTTTCTGTCTGGAATTTTTCCTTGCTGAATGAAAGGCTACCAAGGGTAAAGGGAAGAGACAGATAATCATAAAAACGCAAAAAGCACTGGTCAACTAACAGCTGTCTCTACAGAATAGGGATTTTAAAAGTGAATGTGTTAGGATACTACAGACAGCAAAGGTTCTTCAACCAAAAAAGGAAAGAACCAGTGATGCTATACAATGAGGACAGACTAAATCAAGACTACCTTTATCTCAAACCCAAGAATTAAGCTATATCCCCCACTTAGGAGAACAGCAAGGAAACAGAAAGAGGTAAGTACACACCAAAGGGAGGAATGCTGATGAAATAAGGGAATGAAAAAGAAAATATATTCTCTTTCTTTCAGTTTTGATGAGAGTTTTGTGCTCCCAAACAAGGGAGAATAGAGTTGTGAAACAGGCTCAAAAAACTGCACGTCTTAGATCATAAAAATAGTTTGTTACAAGAAATCAGAGAAGCAGCACTTACAGAAGTGACTGGGGCAAAAAGCCACCTTTCTACCTCTTATGAATAGCATGACAGAGTTAAAAACTAGTCTTTAAGGAAAGTAAAACAGGACAAATGAAAAACTGAATACAATGAAAATTGCATCAGAGTAAAGAATACCAGACAAATTTAGCAGACTTTCTTCAGTAAGATAACTGATTTTGTATATCAAGAAAATACAATTCATTCAACCTAGCTAGACTTCCTCAAGTCATCTAATAATGGTGCCATGATACGGCATTGAAAGTTTAGTTCAAAGGGAAGAGATGGTGATTAATAGGAGAACTGTATGGCAGATAAACTTGCCAAGGAAAGGATAACAGTTATTAGCACTGAAAAGACAGAGAGAGCTAAAAGTATGTTATTAGTGAAGTTCTTCAAACCTGGCCTTTTTCTTAGTGACTGCAGAGGAAAAAGGAAAAAAAAAAAAAAAAGAGTATGTTGATAAAACGTGTATTAGGAAATCATCCATTAAAAACATAATCGAGATACAGTACAAATGATATTGCCTGAAGCAATTAAAAGCCTACAGGACAAAACACACTAGGCCACAAACCTGGGAAGACTAGTAGTAGTAAGGATATCTATTGCACTGCCGCCAGAAAAAATAATGGAGTTCAGTCTACACGCAATACCACTATGCACATCTATCGCATCTTCCAACAGAGGCCATCAGCATTGTTTTAAAAAGTTAATGAACTAATAATCTTGTAAGGCAGATACTGTTCTATCTTACAGAGTAAGAGACTGAAGCAATTGGCTGGAAACAGAAGGGGAAAGATCATTGTGTATTCATTGCAATGAATCACACACAATGCACCAGCAGAAAGAAAAATATATGAGGGGAGAGGGAGAGCGCGAGTGCATGCGTGAGCAAGAGAGCATGCATATTAGACAAGTACACAATGACAAGCAAGAAGGCTTCTGAAACGATACATGTAATTTTTGTTTCCCATGTTCAAGATAAACGAATTATAACTGGAAGAGATAAAAAAGAATTCTTTTCACTGAACAAGATAATGGAAAACCTAGGAGTTCAGCCTTTTAACATGGACACAAAGGAAACAGGACCACTTTGTACACACATACAACAAGGTGTTTAGGAAGGGAATTATTTAACTTTAACATATAAGAACAAATGAATATTAATTAGGAATAACGTTCCAACTTGAAAACTGAAAATCAGATTCTAAGAACCACCTGATTTCACATTCATCAGAAGAAAGAAATGCTAGAAATTTCTGAAAGTAGCAAAAAGGCAAAGATAACTAATTGTTCTTAAAACATACACACTCTTTTATAATTGATCAAACTACAGCATTGCAAGTCAATCTTCTGCTATTGTGAAGTTCTTTGCAAGTTTATGCTTTTATTTTTTGTAAGGAACAATCTTTGATCACCGTATGCTTCAAGGAGAAGCCAAATAAACGTCTATGGACTTTCTATAAAGTTAGAAGAGGTTGTGCAAATTTGATAAGGAAAACAACAGTTAAATTTTATTAAGTCACCGAAAAAAAGTCAACAGGATTTCTAAGCTGCTTCTAAAAATCTTTAGCAAAGATCAAATGGTAGAAAGAACGCAAGGAGCAACTAAAATGAGACTGAAAAGTTGACTAAAAAATGTTTTTATCTTCCTATCATCCAAGTCAGTTACTTATTCAGGAAAGCTGAAAGATAAATATATCCATGGAAAGACCTGACAGATCAACGTATCAGAGCCTAAGCATACAGAAAAGTTATATGTAAGATATTTACAGGTTCTTTTTGTTTTCATAAACAAATATTCTGCAAACTCAATATTGGCTTCTACTTGGACTAACAGAGCATTAGGACGG